TCTGTCCAGTGGACATGCGCCGACCTCAAAACGTTCCCTTCTAGGGCGTAATGAAGTAAATTAATATAGTAATGAATTAAGTAATGAATATATAGTATAATGTATTAGCTGGCCGAGTTCGGAAATAATAGGTTAAAGTTCAAGGGACATATGGGGCCATTTATATATACAGTATATGAGCAACAATTTCTCTATTTTAATGCTATTGTGTGAACTTGGAAATGTACACAGCCAAACCCCGCTATAGCATACCGTCTGTGAACTCCACTATACGCGATGATTTACTATTTCCAAATTTTTTGAAAAATACTTTTTAGCATATAATAGCTGAAGTATTGAAAATAGGGATTGTAATTTTACACAATTTGTTTAAAAAAATATTAACGAATTAAATGGATAATAAATCTAACTTTAAAGAGAAAAAGGCCTACTTAGCTAAAAATTGGTTGTAATTTTACATTTTAAGAAAGAAATTAATGATTTTCAAATGAACACAATTTTAATTTATGTAAAGTTCACCAATTTTCTTAGCTACAATATGTAAGGAATTCAGGATTTTCTGATCCACATTTTCAGAGAAAATAAATATTTCGGACATTTACTGCTTTGTTTTACTTCAGATATAGAGGGTGCTAAACTTTCATTTTCTTCTAATGAGTCTTCTTTCTTTGTTTCGTTCGTCCCGCAGTGGACTGATAATAAAAACACGGTTCCCAGTAGAACACCGAAATCAAACATCACTGTTTGTGGTCAGTAAGCGGGTGGGTGACCATTTTGATCAGTCTATGTAGGGACAGAGGGTGCACGGTATCGGTCCTCGTTAAACTGTTCTACCGTAAAGTGCCCCACTTCTTGTGCGGGTCGTAGGGCTAACAAAGCGGAGGAACCATCCCCTCTGTAGACGATCAAAATTGTGACGGCATGTCTTCAGATCATCCTCAGGGATGTTTCCCAGGCTATAGCCCATTGTGCAAGCTCTTGTGCGAAGTAAATGAAATACATACCTACCTGTGTTTCGTCCTTACGTTTAATTTCGAAGACAATGTCATCATCGCAAGCGCCGTTGAACAGCCGACCAAATTTTTGGGTTCACAGCTACTAATTTTCAATTCCGTAGTCTTGTAATTTTGAACCAATCCAGAAGACAAGGAAACTCCTGGATCAGTACCCCCAGAGGAATTTATTTGTTGTGGGAACATGGAGGACTTTGCGACTCGACAGATTTAAGGTGCATCAGTCACAATTTACTACACGGGGAGTCTTCGGCCGGCGGGGATCGAACCCACGAACTCTTGGACATGGGCCTTTAGTGCCCTACCGACCAGCCTGAATATTATCCCGGCCATAATATTATAGTTTTTTATAGATTTTATAACCCTCGCTGAACAACCAACCCAATTTTTGGGCTTACGACGACTAATGTTTAACTATGTAGCTTTGTAATTTTGAACCCAATCCAGAAGACAAGGGAACTCCTGGATCAGGTATTGGAGTAAATTTGCCATCGTGGAGGACTAACCCGCATTTGCGTTACATGGAGAGGAGGACCAAGAGAACCTCCCACGGTTAACCTGACGACAAGGGGACTCCAACCCATGATCCGTTTGAAGATATTTCACGTCAGCACTGTGGTCGGTGCAAGCCGGATGCGGAATTCGTATCTACTGGCATTCGAACTCATTGGAAGGCGAACACTTTATTCCCTGAGCCAGTGTTTCCCAAACTTATGACTTTTGTGTACCCTTTCGAAATTTATCGTAACGTTGTGTACCACTAATAAAAAAAATTCATGTATTTTTTACTATAAAAAAATTGCACCAAAGTTAAATCGCAACTAGCTGTTGACACCACTAATTACTAATTGTTAACTATTAAAAAAAAAGCCAATAGAAAAAAAACGTAATCGTAAATTTTCATGGCTAGCTTTGTTTTTAAATAAAATGTTTTGAAATTTTCGTTTGTTGCAAGATGCATAAGAACGCGTACCCCCGCTAAACTGTTCCCTTACCCCTGGGGGTACGCGTACCACACTTTAGGAAACACTGAGCCGGAATCTGAGCTATCGCGATTTATTATTAACGGGAGAAACGACGCCTTATGTAATATATTTATGCAGTACATAAGCAACAATTTCTTTATTGTAACGTTATTTTACCCAGTTTGAAATATATACGTACTCACTTATATATTGTAAAACATTGAGGGACCTCTAATAGTCTAAAACATTTTTCTTCAGTATATTAAGATATAATATCTAGTCAAATTTAAAAATTAATATTAAGGGGAGATTTGGGCGATTAATATATACAGCATATATAAGCAACAATTACTCCATTTTAACGCTAATATTCGTATTTAGAAAAGAAAAGGAATATTTTATTTACGCTATACAATCATAAAATAATAACATTTATTTTTATTAAATTTAATTTTAAATACAATTACCGGGGTTCGAACCCCAGATCTCGCGACTAGCAACTTCTTGTTTCCTATCTCGTAGTTCTAACGGCCACGCTATACCTGGCTGCCCGACTTACAACGAGCTTTGAAAACTTTCCCGAGCTCTTTCATTTGAACCATATTGTGGACTCCATAATTTATGTACGGTAGTAGCATAGTATTTTATAATATATTATTTGGTGGAGTTTGAAAATTATAGGTTAATATTAAGGGGAGATATGGGGCCATTTATATGTTCAGTGTATAAGAAACAATTTCTCCATTTTAACGATTTAAAAAAAAGATAAACAATAATTTTACGAAAAGGAATATTTTATTTGCTTTGCAATATTGTAAAATAAATTTAAAAAGAAACATCCATCATTTTTATTAATTATAATTTTTAAATATTGGTCATGACTGGAGTTTGAACCTGAACTTGCGGAACAAGCACTCACCTGCTTTCTATCACTTAACACTACTATCAGCCACACCACACCTGACTAGCCGAATTTTAACAAGCTTTAAATACTTTTCCGTGCTTTTTTTATGGAATCATATTGTGTCACAGTGTTTGTCGCCTAGTTAGTCTATAATTATTTACTTTTGTACAGTAAAATAGTATATTATGACATAATATCTGGTCGAGTTTGAAAAATATGATTCAATACTAAGGGGAGGTATGAGGCTATATATAAAGACAGTATATGAGCAACAATTTCTTGCTTTGAAAGCTATTATACGCACTTAAAAATGAAAAAAATAAAATTTTTAAGTGAAACAAAAATTATTTACGTTGCAATTTTGTAAAATAAGTTGACCATTCCTCTGTGCTTTTTCAATGGAGCCATATTGTGCCCGTTAATCCGTGATTAATTATATAATTATTTCCTATGGTATGGTAGTATAGTACATCATAATCTAATACCTGTGTGAGTTTGAATGTTAAAGGTTAATATTAAGGGGAGGCTATAGCCCATAGCTGCCAACTTTAGGAATCAAAACTTAGGAACACTATATGCGACAAAATAATACGCAAAAATTAAGAGAGTAATACCAAAATTTAACTATCAAATAATAACATTAATAGACATATATTTAAATACCGTATGTAAATTAGTAAAACAAAACTAGAAACACTATCTTTTGTGGGAAATTAATAATATTAATATTTTACAATTAGGAATACCGGTATAATAATTTAAAAACAACCATTGCCTATTAATATATAATTATTCTTCTCAAAATTATAAAACACAGGTAAATAATAATCTACATCATGAACAAATATTTCTGATGCAAGTGTTAAAATACTACAATAAATTTAAAAAAAATAATAATAATAGTTGTTAAAGATTCATCTTAGTGAAATGATCAGCAACAGCTATTGGAATAGTATTTCTAATAAAAAGCTACAAAAAATTACTTCAGCACAAACACAGGAAGCGTGGTTGCGGCAATCAGGTTTAAAAGCAAATATACTGCAATTTTATGAAAATTCAGATTTTTTATAAAAATATCAGATTTTNTCATAATTAGAAATATATGCATACATACTTACCTATTATGCTACATTGTGTGCCCCCTAATTTGTGGATAATTATTTCTTTTGGTATGGTCAGCTCTGCACACTCGCCGCCTTTACTTTCCAAAAAAGCTGGTTCCTATCGATCTGAAGCTGAATGGACTTCAAGTGGTCAAGGGGAGCGAACCCCTTAACTACTGAGGCAGCTTAATGCCCTGACCACTGAGTGAATCATCCTGCATTTGAACCAATAAAAATTTTTGTTCACAGTATTATTCCGGATTTGAATTTAAGTTTGTTTGTTCTTCTTTCTGTATGGAGATAAAGTTTCAGAATAGCTTCATGGAGGAAGGAAAGATGAAATCTGTTTGCCTTTTTTCTTCTTGTTTCTATCAAATCGTTTTTTGATCTCTAGTTTTAAAAATTGTTTATGAAAAAGAAAAATAATTTTACATTAGTTGCAAACAACAAAATTTTAACACTCTCGTAAGTTGAGGGGGTGATTTTTTGAACAGATTGTTAGGGAAATACTTAAAAAGTATAATTTTAATACTCAACCGTAATACCAAAATTTTGACCATGGAATCATAATAATAACGAACTTTGGCCACGTTCACTTACATAGAATTATATTTCTAGAATTACCTTATTTTTTAAGTAACTAAATAATATTTTTGAATATGTTTTGTTACATTAAAATGATTTCCTTTGAACCTAGTTACCCAATTTTAAGTTTTTAGTATTTTCACAACTTTTTAAAAGTTCAACGATTTTCAAAGTTCAAGTTTAAAAATATTTACAAACTTAAAATTAAGGACATATAATTCTCTGAAGGTTAACATCAAAGTAAAATATTTTTTTCCATCTGAAGGAAACCTTTAAGTTTAAATAATTTACCAAATTAATAACAGAAAATCTAAAAAAATAAAATCTCAGCAACAAGTTTATGAATGTATATTTGTTTTCAAACTAATGCAGTAGGCTTGTCTGCATTGTAATTAAACCATGCGTCAAAATTGAAAAAAAAATTACAAAATAGAGAGGAAATATTTTATTCTAAAGAAAAAATCTAGATAACAAATTGCATACATTTTGAAATAATCAGGCTAATTACTGATGGCGCCAGATGCGATCTTTGTACTCAAGTTCTCCCGTCCTGCACTTTCTTTCAAACTTGGCCTGTAATAATAAGAAATATTATTTTTCAAAAAGTGAAGTACACTGACCGTAGCTAGCATATACACACGTTAAAGTCTACTGTCAAACTTAAGAACTCCACTCGTCATTTGTCTAGAGCACTGTCATTGACCATAGTTATGACTAAGAGATAAAAATATTCCAAAAAAAAGGTAAACATTTAGGACAGATTCTGTTTTGAGTCATCAAAAGAAGTATCAAAAGCTCCCCACTTGTGATGTTGTTGCACGACCCCATTGGCCAGCAGTGCTAGACCAGGTCCATGACGTAATACACCCTCAAAAAAATCCAACACCGTCAATGGATCAGCTACTAAATCCTGTTTGGTGAGCCCAGGTACACGAGGATGTGGTGAGGCAAAGCCTGGTCTGAAGAACAGTTGGTACAAATTTCAAAGTTTTTGGACCCCTCCGAAAATTTCATTGATTTAAGGTGACCACTTCGAAAGTGGGCAAGAATAGTTTGTTCCTGTCTATTAAAATCTTGGGCCAGGGGGCCTCCAGGTTGAGAACACTGATAGCATGGGTGCTTTGGGGGGACATTCCAAGTGGTCTTGTTTTTGTGTTTTATTTTTGAGAGGATTTCCAAAAATGAGAGGGGTGCCTACGGCACAGAGGCCTCGCAAGCACCAGCGTTAGCCAAAGTGTCCGCAATCTCGTTTCCTTCAAGATTGACGTAGGAAGGAATCCATTGTAGATGAATCTGATGCGAAATGGAAAGCCGTTTTAATTTTTTGAGTATTGACACTCCAGCACTATCTCTCATGCTTTACCAATTGGTCAAGTGCTGTTTTGCACTTCTGCTGTCAGACAGAACCCATATCTCGTTTCATAGCAGCAGAGAGCTTCTTATTTTGTAACGAGAGGAGTTTTTTAGTTGAACATACAGTACCGTTAGCCTCCCATCATTATGGACTTTCAAGAAAGAAAAAAAAAATTTAATAATACTCACTCANTGTTCCTGTCTATTAAAACCTTGGGTCAGGGGGCCTCCAGGTCGAGAACACTGATAGCATGGGTGCTTTGGGGGGACATTCCAAGTGGTCTTGTTTTTGTGTTTTATTTTTGAGAAGATTTCCAAAAATGAGAGAGGTGCCTACGGCACAGAGGCCTCGCAAGCACCAGCTTTAGCCAAAGTGTCCGCAATCTCGTTTCCTTCAAGATCGATGTGGGAAGGAATCCATTGTAGATGAATCTGATGCGAAATAGAAAGCCGTTTTAATTTTTTGAGTATTGACACTCCAGCACTATCTCTCATGCTTTACCAATTGGTCAAGTGCTGTTTTGCACTTCTGCTATCAGACAGAACCCATATCTCGTTTCATAGCAGCAGAGAGCTTCTTATTTTGTAACGAGAGGAGTTTTTTAGTTGAACATACAGTACCGTTAGCCTCCCATCATTATGGACTTTCAAGAAAGAAAAAAAAAATTTAATAATACTCACTCAAATTTGCATTAGGCCATGTGTCATTTTAATTGATTATAATGTCATAACTTTAATATAGAGTATTATTTGAGAAGCAAAACAGTTTTTTTCCCCTTTTCAGAAAAGGAAACTAAATAGATAAATTCCTTATGTGTCAATAAAATAACTATGTTTTCACTTAAATTAGCAATTTATACTTATAAAAATTTTTTTTTTAATTCAGACATAACTAGCGTAACTAATAAAAGAAAGCTGAATTTTCACGACAACTAGGCGTATTGTGAAATATCAATCTTTTTTTGATAAGAGCGATATATTTTAAAATAAATTCTAATCACAAATTAAAGCTTTCCAATAGTAGTTAATGTTTAGCTTTTAAAATCCTTGTTATCATGCAATAAAATGTGCCAAGATTCACACAAGTTATATAATGGATAGTTATATATGAATAGTGGGATAGTTATACAATGACTTGAGTTTTAATGAAATTATATATATAAAAACAGTCAAATCTAAATTTTATCAAGTCTTATTTCATCTAAGATATTAAAAAGATTGAAATATCTTTGAAAAAAAGTTTTTTAATTTCAAAACTGTAAAAACTTTGGATATGGGTGATTCTCACGAAACATGGCAATTCACTGTCCCTTGATCTAATACTACAATACTAAAAGAGCTTCTTTTAAAAAAAAATTTATAAATAGCATTGCTGTTAGCATTTTAAAATNGTAAAAACTTTGGATATGGGTGATTCTCACGAAACATGGCAATTCACTGTCCCTTGATCTAATACTACAATACTAAAAGAGCTTTTTTTTTATAAAAAAAAAATTAATAAATAGCATTGCTGTTAGCATTTTAAAATGACTTTGCACTAGCATTGACTGTTTTGTATACTTAAAAAATTTAATTGAATATCAAAATGTCATTTTCCTGTTATGTCCCAAACAATATTTCCAATAATGACTAGCTTCAAAACTTTCCATACATTTTTCAAAATCAAATTTTTTTTAATCTTATCCTATGTAAGCATTTCTAGAATATACGCAGAGAGTATTGTTTACTAAAACTTCGTTTAAAATAATTTTTTCTGTCAATAATTTGTTTGTCCCATGAAAATCTGTCATTTTCCTGGCTACTCTTATTTAGTGATTTATAACCGAAATAGATAGTGCGAGGAATCAATATATTATGTTAATAGATTGATTAGATACCCTCCTATCTGAACATGTCTTGTTGCATGAATAAAGAACCAATTTTCTGGCTCAAAATCTATTTCAAAAAATTTTTCAAGGTGAGTAGGTTTTTATGCTGTCATTTTCCTGGCTTCTTGAAATCATTAATAACAAAAACTACATAGATTTATCTGAGTTATTTTAAGAAATACTGTTGTTTTCTGCAGAATATAAACGTCTTCGGCCAAAATATTAAATTAAAGTAAAGTTATATGCTATAAAATGGCGAATTTGTCATTATCCTGGCTGTCATTTTCCTGGCTTATGAATGCCAGGACATTGAAGTGTTACCAGAAATTCTTTTTAACTGCTAATACTGTAAAGAGGGAAAGCAAATATTAACCTAATACCAAGTTTATGTATGATTGTAATATGCTTGGATGTAATCAAAGTTATTTATTTATTTAATGATTGATTATTATACACAATTTTATTCTGTACATATCAGGAACAAAATTTTTTTTTGTTTCTTTCTACAGTGGATAAAGAGAATTAATTTAAGCAATTTATGGTCCACCTAACATAAAGGCTTAAATTGAGTTACTTACCATTAACTTAAAATGACTGTTTTTTAAACTTCTAAGGTTAATATGCTATTTTCCTGGCATTTAAGATTTGGTGAATTTCTATTTAAATTTTTTTCTCGAGCAAATGTCAATAAACTACACTGCTGTCTATAAGATATTAATAAGTGTCGCTAAAGAAGTATACAAAAAAAAAAATGTAGATTATTTTGAAGAATTTAAATTTGAAGAAATTTTTTGGTCCGAATTGTCATGTTTCGTGAGAATCACCCATATATGAAATATGGATATACTTGAAAACTTACAATAAAATATACATGTTAGATCAAATTGTTATAATTCACTATGATATTTTCAAGGGAGTAAAAATTTTTTCAAATATTTCCAGGAACTTTGAAAAGATAAAAAAAAAAAAATTATATCACATTTTAAAATAATTTTAATTTAAGTGGAAAACAACTATTTTCAGAGCTAGTAGATGATACCAAGAGGAAAAAGTTTCATACCCAATATTTCTCATGCTTTGAATGACACAATTCATCTTGTAACATACTTTTACATACTTTTACATAACCAATATTTCTAATTTCCCAATTTTATAAAAGTTGTAGATTGGTTTCTTTCAAAGTCAATCTAGGCAGTTTGCGTATTTTACAAAATTTTAATGAAAATTTCGGATTTCACAGAATTTTAATGAAAATGTCACATTATAGATTGGCCTATGCAATTTCAATTATTTCGGCTTCTCCTATAAGTTCAAAAAAAAATTTAATAAAATAACCACAGATTTCAATATAAGACAGATCAATTGTTATGAAAAATAACGTTAAACTTTTTACTTAGTGTAGTAATAAAAACATACTTTTGAATTTTTAAGGAATAAACCATAGGCTACAATTGGCACAATAATAGAAAACATGTACTTCAGCCAATTCTTAAATGTAGGGATGAATCTTTCTGTCATAGTCATATGCATTGAATAATACCTTTGCACAGCAGGATCAAACTGAAAGTAAATATATGTACACATAAATATGTAACTAAAAGTTCAAGAACCAAAGTATTAAAAATGCTTCAGACTATAGATATTAAAAATGATTTCGACAATAGATTTAAAAAATGCTTCAGAATATATATAGATACAGACAGGATCAAATTAAAAATAAATATATATACATATAAATATTTAACTAAAAGTTTCAAAACTAAAATATTAAAAATGCTTCAGACTATAGATATTAAAAATGCTTAAGACTATAGATATTAAAAATGCTTCAGATTATATATAGATAAAGGCAGGATCAAACTAAAAATAAATATATATACACATAAATATGTAACTAAAAATTTAAGAGCCACAATATTAAAAATGCTTCAGACTGTATACAGATACAGGCAGGATCAAACTAAAAATATAACTATACACATAAATATGTAACTAAAAGTATAAGAAGCAAAATATTAAAAATGCTTCAGACTATAGATGAGAGTGATGTAACATGAAACATACACAATTTACGCAGTAATTATTAATTAAAATGATGCAAAAAATTGAGAATTTATGAAATATAGTCAGAATCAAATAACCTTCTCATAGGAATAAAATTTAGTGAAACCAAATTACTTTGTATGAAACCAATGTTAAATTTCCTCGTTTAAATGAATATTTATGGTTGCTGGCCCTTGCTTACTTTCATAATGAAAATTTTTTTAAAAAAAATGTATTATCAGCTAGAATGGAATTTTTGTTTTTCAGTTAAATAGATGAGAATATAATTCATGACTTTTCAATAGGGATTTCTTTTCTGTTTTCTGCCCCAAACAGATCTCAGGCAAAAATTTAAAAATCAATCATCCCTTGTTTTTATGTAGTAGGCAAGTTTTTTCTTTCAACTCTCTTTGAAACATTTTACTCATACAGCATTAAGATTATGGAAAGGTAAGAAGTAGAGAAATGTTTAATATGTGTCAAAACAGCCTTCAGTTATCAATTTCTTTGGAAGGAAATAAATAGAATTAAAGTACATACAGTCAATTCGCTATAACTCGAAGTACGATAACTCGAATATTACTATAACTCGATTTTTTTATGAGGTCCCGACCCTCTTATCTTCAATTTCATGTTAATTATTCTCGATTACTCGAATTTTACTCCCTTTAACTCGATTTTTTTTGGGANCCCCGACTTCATATACACATAAATATGTAACTAAAACTTTAAGAACTAAAATATTAAAAATGCTTCAGACTATAGATATTAAAAATGCTTCAGATTACATATAGATACAGACAGGATCAAACTAAAAATAAATATATATACACATAAATATGTAACTAAAAGTTTAAGAACCACAATATTAAAAATGCTTCAGACTATATATAGATACAGGCAGGATCAAACTAAAAATAAATATATATCTACACAAAAATATGAAACTAAAAGTTTAAGAACCAAAATATTTAAAATGCTTCAGACTATAGATATTGAAAATGCTTCAGATTATATATAGACATAGGCAGGATCAAACGAAAAATAAATATATATACACATAAATATGTAACTAAAAGTTTAAGAGCCAAAATATTAAAAATGCTTCGGACTATAGATGAGAGTGATGTAACATGAAACATACACAATTTACACAGTAATTATTAATTAAAATGATGTAAAAAATTGAGAATTTATGAAATACAATCAGAATCAACTAAACTACTTATAGGAATAAAATTTACTAAAACCAAATTATTTTGTATGAAACCGATGTTAAAGTTAATTGTTCAAATGAATATTTATAGTTGCCAGTCCTTGCTTAATTGCATAAAGAATTTTTTTTTTTAAGAAATGTATTATCAGCTAGAATGGAATTTTCGTTTTTCAGTTAAATAGATGATTCACAATCATTTCAATAGGGACTTCTCTTTTGTTTCCTGCGCCAAACAGATCTCAGGCAAAAATTTAAAAATCAATCATACCTTGTTTTTATGTAGTAGGCAAGTTTTTTCTTTCAACTCTCTTTGAAACATTTTACTCATACAGCATTAAGATTATAAAAAGGTAAGAAGTAGAGAAATGTTTAATATGTGTCAAAACAGCCTTCAGTTATCAATTTCTTTGGAAGGAAATAAATAGAATCAAAGTACATATATTAGACTTTTCTCCAGCATGATTTCTTACTATGGACATAAATTTAAATATTTATATTTTATAATAATAACACTAGCAGCTTCAATTATAAATGTGTATTATTCGCTAACATGAGTTCACTTCCTCAAAATATTATAACTATAAAATACATATCCCAGCAACAATTTTACCTTGCCCCCAGTTGGGCTCAATATGGGTCTTACAAGAACAATTAGAGACCAATATTGGGATGTCTAGATTTTTTAATATTGGTCCTAGAAAGGAAGATAAGGAAGGATAGAAACTATATTGGCTAAATAATGGAGATAAAATATTGGGTGAATCTGACCATTCTATATAGATCCGATATTGGTTGTAAAGTGGCAGTTAAATATCTGAAAAATTATGGCCCTTTGAAAAATTATTGAGCCAAATTTCATGAATATTGAGGGCCCAAGTTATTTTTCTGCTAGAGTATTATTTCTAAATAAAATTTAAAAAAAAAAACGTTTAAAATTCAATTATATACTCCCTTTACATCCGAATAATCCACTTATTTTACTACAGTTAGCTGGAAGTAATGGTACTCCTTTAAAAGGGATGACAGCAATAATAACAGTTACATAATATTAAAAAAATTATTTTTCTTACATAACTTTCGTTCTTAGCAGGGATGATTGTGAGCCCATCTCAAAAATCCTGAAAATTTCTTGAGAAAATCATTAATGACGCATTTCTAAAAATTAATGTCTTCGTAAATTAAAATCATTGATATTTTCAGAACAAGAAATTCTAAATAAATTATATGCAGCATAATTTAAATGAATTATTATGTATAAGTTTACTTTTATCTCTCATCACATTTATTATTCTAACAGAAAAAATATTTAGAATTATGAGAAAGATGCAAAGTATAAATTCTAGTTCTAATATTTTTAAATAAAATATACAAGACTTTTTATTCATAAATATGATCGATGATTTCTTGAAACTTCTCGACCTTGGATTTCCGGAAACTTCCGGATCACGGTTAGCAAAAAATATGGATTTTTTTCCAGAGCACAATCATCCCTGTCTTAGACTAAACCGTTTTAGATTACAAATTTTACAACTCACCACAATGGGATCAGTACCATAGGGATCAGTTAGCTTCCTCAAGTATTCTTGCCTCAATGCTCGACGCAATTTCTTTCTCTCTTCAACCAAACGAACTTCTTCTGGTGAAGCATCAGGTTTATTCCCTGCATCAGGTCTGATACATAATTTAGAGGTAACTAAAAGAAAAATTAATTTATATAACATTATATTTTTAAATAAAATTAATTTAGATAATATTTTTTAATTAAAAATTGCGTATTTAAAAACTATGGAGAAATCAATCGCAATAACTGCCAAAACATTCCATAGAATTATTGCCTTATAAGTAAATACTCAAATGCACAATTTCAATTTTCCATATTGTTTAAAACATATCGAGATATTTAGAAACCACAAGTAAATCAATATCAATAACTGCAGAAAATACAACCGAAACATTCCATCGATTTATAATACTATTGGCGTAAATTAAGCATGTCAAAAAGTGATTATCTAAATGCATGATTCAAATATTGAGTGTAAATTTCTGTAGAAAAGAAAAGTAATAATTTTTTTTTTCTCAAAAGAAAAATCTTTCTGCAAGAACTCTGTAACGTTCTGCGACAAAGTAGCAGTGTCGCTGCAAGTCTGGCACGGGGCATAAAACAAAACAAGAAAAAAAACAATGCAAAAAAAAATAATTCAAAAAGTAGAAAAAAAAATGCAAAAAGTCAACAAGAAAAAAAAATGCAAAATGAAAAAAAAACGTGCAAAAAAAAGAAAAATGAAGAAAAAAGTGCAAAAAATGAAAAAAAAAAAGTGCAAAAAGAAAAAAAAATGCAAAAGTCAACACAGTTTTTTATTTTATTAATAAATACAAGGAACTAAAACAAAACATAATGCACAAGTTTTAAGTTGAGATTTGAATTTGTTTTTTTACGTGTAAGAAACATTTAATTTAAAATCAGTTTAATATCCCGAGTTATCTCCGGCAAATGAAGAAAGTTAAATATTAGTCTTTGTATGATAGTTCTTAAAACAAGGGACAACACAAAGTGATACTTTTCAAATGTCAGTGAAGGAATATGCCATTTTTTTTTATTACTCTTATTGCTATGTAAATTCAGCAACCATCGCATATACAATCGCACAAAATACATGTCCAGTCCCAAAGCAAAACTTTGCAAACTTCCAATCACAGCAAAATATATTTTTTGCTTCTGAACGAGTAAAAACGCGATAAAACAAAAATTCCGCTAAGCCCGAGTTTTCTTGGGATGATAAATATTTGCAATGTATACGTAACCGAGTTAATTCGGAATAATCAAGTAAGTGGCTACAAAATCATTCTGTTACAATTAACTTGTACTGTTCTGCTGATCAGTGAATTCAAAACTTTGATCTACTGATATTGCTCATCAAAATTGAGAATTTTGTTTACTTTGGAGAATTTTGTTTACACCTACTTTAGTAGTTACACACGAATTCTTTGAGGGACAGAGCTGTTGCATTGCATTTTATAAGTAAGCAATTAGCGTACATTTTCAAGTAATTCCCAATAGTTACAGTGTACCCCCTCAATTTCAGGAAAAATAATTTCTCGACTTTTCCAGATATTTCTGGCAAATTTCAATGGAAATCCATACCACATTTTATCTATACCATGCAATTTTTCATCAGAAAATTTTGATTTTTTTCTCAGTGGAATGTCAAATATTAGATTTTGTAACAGATACCTTACGAACAGGGACCGATCAAGACAAATTCAGGCCCAAGGCCCACAAAATTTTTTGGGCCCCTAACAAAATATTTTGAAATTAAATTTCCGAAGAACATAGTCCTAACAATTTCTTTTATATTTCTTCTTCTCTTCTAGATTCTTTTTATAGTTCTAACAATCAAAAGAATCTATTGAACTGCAAGATTCAAGAGAAATATTCTAAAAAATTTTGAAAGCAGACAGTTGAAGATAAAGTTTATACATCGCAAAGTTGCCGATGGACCANATGAAAATCATTTTCGGGCATTGGACTCTATGCATACTTTGTTGGTTGACTTAACAGTCAGAAAAATGAATAAACAAACAAAAATATCGGATTTTTTTTAATAAAAATGTTTTTTTAAGGTAAGTTTACAATCTTATGTTCTGTATTTATATCCATTGTTTTTAATGCTTAACTGTAATAAACACTTTGCAAATTAATTTTTTCGATAATATATAAATATATTTATAGTTAATGAATATATAACATTAAATTTCAAAACAATTTATTGCGTCCCAGAATTATGTGGGCCCTCGATATAACAATATATCCCTCTACAACAATATTCTTATTTGGTCCGCAAAATATTGTTGTAGCGAGGTTTTACTGTAGTTTGGTGATCACAAACAATTGAAATCAGTGAGACTTTGCGAATATGCATTCTTGTTGCATTTGCATTGCAAGCAGTTGGAGTAAGAATTGCACCAATTAAAATTCAGCTGTACTTTTGAATTTGATTAGTGCAGTGCTAGAAAATTTGAAATAAAAAATGCCTTTTTTGAGATAAATTGCTTCTTTCAGTATTTTTTTTTTTTTTTTAAAGAAATATTGTGACATTTTACTAATTTTTGAGGCCCCCATGATACTGTGGGCCCTAGGCCTGTGCCTAGGCAATAATCAGGCCCTGCACAAGGATACAATAGAATGAGAAGAAAGGATGAAAAAGTTTCTCTAAAAAGTGGCATTTTATAAAATAACTGCAATAGATGATAGAATTATTTAACTTGAACCTGAATGCCTGATTACTGTTACTGACACTATTAAGACTGATTATTTTCTAGTTATAATATAGGAATTTTCCAGTTTTTTTTTTTTTTTGGTAAAAAATTACAACTTTTAGTGACTATTCCCTCCTTTTTGGAGTTTAAATAAAATTCCCCGATAATTCCAGGTTTTCCCTGTTCTCTCTGATCCGTGGGAGCCCTTTAGTTAATATTAAACGTTAAGTGGTTGGCATCAATGAGATGTATAGATAAAAGGCTAAATATTGCTGGGTGCCTGTTTCTTACTCTCTTCCTTCCTATTCTTGTAATAGGCATCAGTGAGTGGCAGATGGGAACTAATGAACTGCTAAGATGATGATAACTTAAATTTCTCAGCCGTTCTACCCCTATGGTTTGAAGTCTGGTAATTCATAACCCAGAGTTTTTAAATTCTAAGAATCAGCCCTGACTTCCAATGTTGAATATCATGCCAATAGTAACACGGTAGATATGCTGAACCGTGGTTGCAAATGGAGCTCTCGGGTAAAATTTATAGTTTCAGAATTACTTTGAACTGCTAGCCATTCAACTTTGCACATCATCAGCAATAATAAATGTTCTTCCCATATGTGTTGATAGTAATCGTTGTGTTACCTTTATAGCAAATGATACCTAGTTGTTTTGCTTCCTTTGATTCAAACAGTACTTAGTTATTGCGCCTTTTCTACAGTGAACAGTATTCCTCGTACATGTCTATAATAGTTGTTGTACTTCTAAAATGAACTGTACATACTGTATGCGTCTAAAATAGATGGTGGGTTACTGTGTTTTCGGGTAACGTCCTAGTCCTTAGTTCGACTAAAACATTTCGGATTGAACCTTTAATAAAATGTTGTTTATACAAACTGCGAATGTTAACAAAGTAAAGATAAATGAATAATTATAATATAGAGAATGTGTAATGTACACATTCTCTATATTATAATTATTGTGTAATGTACACAATTATGATGAAGTACGCAATTATGTGACAAAAACACAAAATTATACCATTAATTTCTGTTCTGAGTGATCCATGATAATTTATTTTATGGTGGTCTGTGAAAAATTGCAGTGATCCCAGATAAATAGACCTTATTGTTTATAATGCAAAAGACACACAATCACTCACTTTAACAACAGATTAAGCAACCAATTACCAAAAACAAAATGCAAAACAGAAAGCAATGCAACAAAATCACTAGGATTAAGGTTCTTAAGCTTATTAGTTTTACTATAATTTTTTGTAAAAAACTTAATGCAAAATCTAAGTATGTTATTTCAAAGAGAAATTTGCTGCAATTTGTATTACTTTATTAAAAAAGACATGAGTATCTACCAATAGTAACTAAGCATATAGAGGGGCAGATAAGCATAATATTAGCAGGAAATTTTTTAGCATCATACTCATAATTTTTTAACATTTCTAAATGGGGGGAAAAAAAAAAATTATAAAATTCCTTAATCCTAACAAGCAGATCAATCTGGCAGTGATAGCTATGAGAATGTATAGCTCTGCTTTGCTTTTTCTGCAGTTACGGTATTGCTTTTAACTTTCAGGAATGAGTTTTCTCTGCTTTTTTCAATTTAATAATTAAATAATAAAATAGATAAATAAAAAAAAACTCGCCTTTCTAAAGGAAGTACAAGTTTTTTTTTTCTTCGAGTTTTCAAGAAGGAATTCCTTTTTAAGGTTTTCCCACCAATGCAAATGCAATTAAAATTATACTCACTTGAATTATCAAAAATTTCAAACAAACAAATTTCGTCAAAATGAGGTGGTGGCAAAAGGGTTGAAACTGGTTAAAAATTTTATGAATGCTCGTAGGAAGTTTTTTAATTGAGATTTTGTCAGAAAGAATTTAAAGATTTATTCTAAGAAAGTTTTTCATTTTATCTAAATCTGCAGAGGGGATTAAAAAAAAATTATAAAAAAATTTATACAAAAGATGTACACGTTTCTGAATTAAAAATAATAAAAATTTCTACATTGACGTGTTTTAAAATTAAATAATTTAATGATAAAAAAATTAGGCAAAAAAATCAAAGAATACTTACCAGAAAAATTACGTATAACACTTGCTGACTGTAAAACATTAAGTCGCCGTACTCCTTTTAAAATTGATAATGAAGCTGCCATTGCAATTATGACCTTATTAAAGATAAAGAAAAAGTATGAGAATTTAACAAGAATAAGTATCGTATAATATAAAATTAACAAAATTATAATTGAAAAGTCAAAGGAAAAGAATAATGTCTGCTTTGCAAATATTAATTTGATAATTAACCATATGAATAAATTGCAAATGATTTAAATCACTGCAAAATGATTTAAATCATTTTTAAATAAAAAATAAGAAGAAATTTGTTTAAGGCAAAATTCATATTCATGCAGAGAAAATAATATTATTCACTTATTGCCCTTACGAAGACGTCCTTCTATAATTTCTTGTTTATTTACAGGACAGGAACTTATATCTATTCTGTACGAATAAAACTACCGTAAAAACTAATCACACCGATCCGTACTCATTTCATAAGAAAACCTTTTATTTACGTACGAAACGTCGATCAACTGAAAGCACTTTATGAATGCATTCAAAATTTAAAAAAATTAAGAGTTAGATGCCACAATTTTTTAACAATTTGCACTAACAATTTTTAACCTTTATTAAAAATAGAACTTTTCATAGAATGGAATACTTTTAATTTTTTCAATCCACTTCTAACTAGAATTAGTTGAAAGAGAGTGAATTAAAAAAAAAAAAACTGAAACTAAGTAATCACTGTAAATGATAGTAAAACTGTAACCGCACAAAGCCGTCGTAATTTGTAAATGTTTACTTTCTGATTTTTTTTCTTCCTAAGTCATACGTGTTTTTGTCTTGTCATATCTAAATTGAATCAAGAATAGATTAATGTTTGAATTCGCGTTTGAAAATTTTAGTTAGAGTTGAATCACTACATTCCAAACAAATGAATTGCACTTGATTTAGTTTTTGTAAATCGAAATGTGGTCTTTTTTTAGTAGAGATGCAGCAAAGGATTTTGCTTTCGAACTTGGTGCTGAAGTGGAAGGTTTAAAAGATTACTCAATCTGGAAATTGCATTCTGGAAAGAAAAAAGTATATTTTACAGATTATTTTAGCTATCTCTTTTTCCGTTTTTGATATCAATAGAGCGTTATACGTATATTTTTTATTCTACTGTCTATGCTGATTACCTATTTAAATTTTCTTCAAATGTATGCTCGTTTTAATTTTAAATTTGTATTTCTATTGACAGGCATCTGGGGAGGCAGTCAGCATCTTTGTGTTTGAAAATTCTTCACCAGAAACTGCATCTTTGGTATTTACGTTATTTATTTTTAGCGTATCACACAAATGTTAATTTTATATATTTATTTCAAAGTACCTTCTGAGACTTTTTAAACTTTAATTTATGTATGTGATATTATTAATAATTTTTGTATTTTCTAAAGGTTTTAGTGCTTTATAATCTTCTAAGTAATTCTTAAGTTTTAGAAAAAAAATATAACTAACAATTAAAAATCTGCAGGTTTATCATCAGTTAATTTAAAACTTTTTTTTATTGTGTGTCTAACAATTGTTTAAGCTTCAATTTGGAACCTAATAGGATTGGTTTAATTTCTGCAAAAAAATGATTAATTTAATTACATATTACAATGTATCTGTGAACCTAAAGTTTCTGAATTGTGTATGCATTACAGTTAAACCTGTTTGTCTCGAAAACTTCTATGTCTCAAAATTTCTAAAATTCCTTACATTTACTATTTAAAATCATTGTGTTTTCCATATCTATCTTGAAATGTTTTCTTTCAAAACCTTTGTTTCTCGAATTTCTAATAATGGAGCACAAATGCCCAAACAACATAACAAACAAAAAAGATTAGACGTCAAAAAAAAAATCTTTAAAAAGATTATTTTCAGTGTTAAAGGTATGTTAAAATTTTTTTTAAATGTAAATAGATATATCTGGTATAATTCATTTACAGAAATGTCTATATTTTTCTGCTATTAAACAATTAAAGCACCTATAATCAAATGTTTTAATTATATTAAATTTTTTAAAGAACCTGTATAACTCAAAACCACTTTGCGATAAACAGTCTCAACTGAACTATTAATATTTTGTAAAACGTTTAATACCTTATAATCTCTAAAGTAATTCTTAAGTGTTGTAAAATTATCAAAATTATTAAAAATTTGCTATATAGTCATCACTAATCAACTATTTATTGTGAATCCAATAATTGTTTTAATCAATTTGAAATTTAATAGAATTGCTTTAGTTTCTGAAAAGAAATGCTGTATGAGTAGAAAATAAAAAAAAGATGTGGGAAGCACTAATATAAAATGTTTTTTTTTTTTTTGTATTTATACCATTATCGCATGAAATATACTTTTATAAAATGTATTTTGCATTCTATAATTTCAGTTAGAAATTGCTAAATCTGCTTTGAAAAGATTGAAGACTCTAAGACATCCTAGTATATTGACATATGTAGATAGCTTGGAAGTGAGAATATAATTGTTTCTTTATATATTATATATGTCATGTGTTATTAAATGTCATGTGTTATATTAAATGTCATGTGTTGCATTAAAGTGTTTTCATTTCATACCTAATTTAAAAATCTAGGATTCGATAAGATTTTTTAATTATTATTTAAATGCCCCATTGTAAATCTTTATAATTTAGGTCCATGTTTTACTTTGAATAAAGGGATATTTCCGTATCCTGATCTGTTATGCCAGCTAAAATTGCCATGGTACCATGGTTTTTAACTTAGTTGCCATGGTTTTTAACTTGGAATTTTTTTTAAAAAGACATAAAAAAAATTTTTTTTTTGGGGGGGGNGGGGGGGGGGGTATTATTATATTCTGCTGGAGGTCACGATATGCAAATCTTCCCTTTAATTAATAAATATAATTTTTAAAACAAAAAAGTAAAATAAATAAAACTTAAAATTTATTAATATTTTTGGGTACTTGCGTATAATACTGATGACTTTTTTTTTCAAGCCTCAATTGGGAAATAGTTCAAACCTAAATATTTCCGCATTTTTTCTTGCAATTAATTATATTTAAATGTTACCTATTTCCATGTTTTCTGATTAAATTAATATATAAGTGTTTTACTTTGCCAATTTAAAAGGAACTGTGAATTTACATTAATAATGATAGAAATAGATTTATTCAGAATTTGTTTAGAAGTTCAAAATATTGGATTTCTATTACAGTGTACATGTAGGCTTGCCATTTATTAGGGGGACAGGAAAGTAATGTTGTTTCGATGCATTTGATATTTGTTATCAAGATTTTATTTTTAATCAAGAACGTATTCTTCCTCGTTATCAACAACTTAGCAATGCCGGATTGAAAATGGATTGAAAAAAAGTAAATTGGTTTTTTAAGACTAACGAATATTTAATGCTCTGAAATGACATTACTTTCCGGTCCTCTAATACTTGTTCTACTAGTTGCCCAGGTAGCTAATTTTACAGAATGAATCTGCATCTTAGTAAATCTAAATTTGTCTGTGACCTCAATGATGTCAAACAATGATTATTATAGTAAAAATATAGCTTAATCTGACATGCAGCTAATTTTTTCCAATAATATAAGCTCCTTAAAAATTGAACCTGAAGACTTTATTTTTAAATTTAAGTCCAATCTTATGCAGTATTATGAAATGGAATAAATCCCAATACGGTAAAATCTGTAATCAGGTAACAAAAAAAAAAAATCTTTTATTTTTTTTTTTAAATTTTTTTTCTCAATTCAGCTTTTTAGTTTTTTTTAGTTTTTTTTTTACTATCAAGTTTAGAGATGTTTTGAAAAAGAATCTTTGCTTGTTTACTTTTTAACGATGAAGAAAACTTAAATGCAAAATAATCTCTTGATGCTTTAATAATCTGCTGTCACTCAAGGGTTTTTTGCTACCGGGCTATTACAGAATTACTATTTTTGTGCTTTTTGATAACTTTCCCTTTAGAAACTTGTCATTAATAATGTTTTGTTGTAAAAAAAAAATAATAATAATTCAAACTTTTTTTTTCTTTTCAGACTGATAAACTTGTGTACTTAGTTGTTGAGCCTGTGGAGCCTTTAGAACTCCATTTGAACAAAAATTCTTATACAGCTGACCAAAAGAATCTGGCAATATCATGGGGTTTATATCAAATAGCTGTAAGTTCATTGACTTGCAAACATTTTTATGCCATGTTTAAATTATATTTTCTCTTATTTTTATTACTGTACAAATTTGGTTTTAAAAATTATAGTATTTTTCTATATCTGTTCTCACTGTTTCAATTCAAATATCATAGCAAATTACCAATTATATATCTTGAATTTATTTAGGAGATTTTGGTGGTTCTAATTTAATCCTATTTGCTTATCAAAATAATTTTATTAAACATTCCTGATTTTTAAATTATGTATAATAACTTTCTCTGTGATGTTTTAAAGGTTTGAAACTTTCATATTGTGTTTAACATCTGAAACCTAATGATATTTATAGCAGTAAATAATCAGAATTTGTTTAGGTTTTTGATTTGAGGATTATCAAAGGTTATGACTGTCAAAAACTGACTCATGTTTACACACGACGCAGGTTTAACATTATAAAATTAAATACTGTTTTCAACTAATAAATTTCACACTTCTTTTAACCTCTTGAAGGTTAATTATTTGTGATGACAGTGTCATTTGTGGTGATAGTTAAAAAAAAAATTTTTTTTTTCCTCTCCTGTAACAAGTTGTTAATCATTCTTAAAACATCTACAGTTTGTAACCATTTTATTTGGTCTAAAGCATCATAATTTTTTTTTTGAAACTGTTTTTTGGTTTTTAAAGTGATGTTCACATCCAAGAATCGTTTCATGAAATGTATATTTGCAATCCATGAATAAATTTTTTTTTTTAAATAGCATAATTTAGTTGCATGTTTGTTATCCACTAAGTGTGTTTTAAGTATAAACAAATTTTTAATAGTTATGTATGATCAGAGCTAAAGGTATATTAATAAAAAATGAGCTTAATGAAACAAAATTTTATTTGCTGAAGTAACATTTGTTACCTTCTGCTTCAATATATTAAAAATATCACAAAAAAATTATTAGGTTAAATAAAATTAGTCAGTTATTTTTTTGTGCAATGCAGAAATATTTAGTTAACATATTTTGAAGTTAGCTATTTATTTTTAGTCTGGTCTTAGTTTTCTCAACAATGATTGCCACCTGTCACATAATAATGTTTGCTTGTCTTCTGTGTTTGTGGATCGAGCTGGTGAGTGGAAGCTTTTTGGTTTGGAGTATATTGCACCTGAATCTTACCCTGTGAAAGTTTTACCTTCTCTTCAGATTTATAATCCACCTGAACAGGGAAGCAATCATTATGCTAAGGAGTCTTCCAATTCTTGGTAAGAACTATTACGGTGTTTATTTTTAAAGGTGCTCTAAAATTTATTGCTGATTATTTAGTAAGTAAAATTATTGTACCCCGGACTTTTTTTTTACCATTATACACTTGAATGTACCATAATGGACGAGACACTTTCACTTTTTGACATTGTTTTAAATTTCTCAAGAAAAACTCAGAGGATTATTTTGTAACTTTAGAGTTGTTTATAGTTCATGGCAATAAATTAAAAAGAAAACTAGTATTTTTAAACACCCTATGCCAGAAAATTAAGCAATAAGTTTGTAACTTGTATTGATTACTTTAATTGTTATTTGCAACAATTGCATAAAGTTTCGTAATTCTAGCTTAAATATTTATAGAAATATAAAAATTTTTATTGAAAAAAAACTGGTTTTTTTTTTTGAAGTTTTTTTGCCATAACTTTAAAAATATTTGTTAAAGCAATTTAAAATTAATACAGAAATTTGAAGAAAGTTCACTTAAAACTACACAAGATATGAGTATTTAAAGTAGTTCTTTTGTACTGCGCAAGCGCAAAAAGATTTTTAATTTATCCTCCATAATTTTGTCGTTGATAGTATTTTGAAACTAATGAAAAAAATCTCATTTAAATATCTTAAAAATGTAAAAAGTTTTGAGCGAGTTTCTATGCTTTTGTACTTTTTAAAATAAAGCTCAAAATGATCAGAGGTTTTCGACAAATATGAATTTGTTCTTATTGCTTTGTTGTCTTGTTCTTGTTGTGTTGTTCTGGTTATAAGACAGTTTCACTACAAAATAAAATTTCTGCGATTAAAATTTAAATCTTATTGCTAAGTTTGGAAAATCACATGAACTAAACAACTCTAATGTTACAAACTAATCCTCTTGAGTATTTCTTGAGAAATTTTAAAAAATGTCAAAAATTAAAAGTATTTCTTTCATTAAAAAGAAAAAAATCTCTCTCTATGTATAAATAGTTTTATCTGGAACCCTTCAAAAAAAAAATTTGGGTTCATATAGCTTTCTGAATTGACTGGTTAATAGTTCATATATTTTCCAATTTGGTATTCGGTATGGCCTAAAATCATTGTGTCCTAATTTTTGCTAAATTTTTATACTAACACAAGTAATGGAAAATCCTCTCTTTAAAAACTTTCCCCTAAAACACATTAACATGAATATTTAACGTTTAATAAGGAGTTTTTCTTTTTGATTTAATAATATCGTTTATGTATATTTTATAAAAGTTTTATGACCTCTTCTAATTTAAGCACCCTATAGAAAGCATGAATCTCCTAATAAAATAAAAATAGCTTCATTGGAGGACAAGATTCATTTTTATTTTATATTGATTGACATCTGTTGAATTATATTTAGTTTAATTAATTATTACTTACTGCCCTTAATTATTACTTTATTTTTTAAAAAATTAAAGGATTTATTTATATTACTTTTAGGGCTTGTGATAGCTGGGGTTTTGGTTGTTTGATCTGGGAAGTTTTTAATAGTAGATTAAGCAAAATCTCCTCTCTGAAAAATACAGGAAAAGTAAGTTTTTCTCTTAGTTCTTACTCAAATTCTTTTATGTTTAATTTATACTCAATTCTATTTATTTTCTGCAGATTCCTAATAATCTGTGCCCTTTTTACTGTGAACTTGTTTGTGCTAATCCAGATTCTCGACCAAGTTCCTCAACTTTTTTGAAGAAAGCTTCCAAAGCAAAAGGATATTTTAAAAACAAATTTGTGGATACCATGCTCTTCTTAAGAGAAATACATGTATGTATGTTCATTTTCTTATGTTACAAAATTTCTTCTACTTTGAAGTTTTAATAAATGGTTCCCAAAAAGTAAAACTAGTTATTAAAATTAATATATCAGTATTGAAGAAACTATCTAGCAATATACAAGGTGTTAATATAAGTTATATCTCAATTTAATTGAATTTATCTCTTCAATACATGAAATTTGCCTACTACATAGATCACTATGATGTATTAAGGGACCTATGCAACAGGCAAATTATATTATTTGTATTTTTTTCATTGTTAGATGCTGTAGAATTACAACATTTCTCCCTTGTTATTTGGGCCCAAAATAGGACTTGGCAGTAAATTTAGCAAGTTTGCCTTTTGGCTTAGTGACATTTGACATTCTTAGAAAAAATTTAGTTAAAATGTATAAGTGAAATACATTTTTATAAATAAACATAATTAGGTTTATCATGTTTATTATATTTGTTTTAGTTTTTTAATAAGTTATGATTACTAACAAATATTCAATCATTTCTTTAACATTATCATGTTACTTAATAAATTATAATTATTAGTTATTTCAATAATTATGTTTCTTTTCATTTTATGAATTAGGAAATTAATTTTATAAATTGAGGCTTAAAATTTTGTTGATGTTTCTTGCCATAACTTGAAATTAAACTATTTACCTATTTACTACTTAACTGACTAACTATGGACTAAGGTTTGCCGCTTTTTCTAATTATGCCATTTTTCTTTGAAGTGGACTTTTTCTACTGTTATTGTTTGTGATATCTCATATTGTCATATATATTTAAAATTTAATTTCTCAAAAACTATTTAAACGATTTGATACAGATTTTGCCATTTAAAATTGCATTCTTCAGCATAGTGAAAGAAAATTATTTTACCTTACAATTTAATATTGTTTTCACTATTAAAAGAAATAATAGCAAATAATAATTTAAAATTATTTCTTTGTGTGAAATTATCTTTGGATAAACATATTTTATTATTGTGTGTAAAAATGTTTAGAGTCACTTAAAAAGTTCTTCTTGAAATATAGCGAAATACATAAATTATAAAATTAATATTAATGGAGCTACTTCTCCCTCATTTTTTGAGGGTCAAAAATGCAAATCTTATGTAAAAAGGTATGTTTATTCAAAGAAAATATATGTTTGTATCTGATAAAAATTGCAGACACTTATTAATCAGCATATTTAGGTAAGGCCCTCGACCCAGTAAGATTGAGTTTAAATATGTGAAAATCCAATTATTAAATCAAAATGTAATCAGGATGTTCTCTTTCTTTTTCTCCACTGTACACTGATATAGAATGGTAATTTAGTAATATAATAACTGACAATTATAGCCAATATAAATAACTTACTAAATGTTATATACACAGTTCCTTTCCAAATTAATAGACAATATAAGATTCTATGTGGAATCTTAATTATCAGGTGATGCTATACAGCTTTATTGTTCTTACGTGACTGAAACCAGCTTGCACTTGTTTACGTTTGTGTATCAGTTAAATAAGACGATATATTTTATAAATGTAGAATAATTATTTTATCAGGTATTATATCAATAAATTAAAATAATTTGTCCAAATTATTACGACTCACTGTAGTTTTTTAATCGTTACATATTTTGCATGAGTTTATATGCAAAGTTTTTATGTTTAGACATGCATGTAATGGGTTTTTATTCAATTCGGGAAATTTTTTATGTACTCCCTATTTGTATTTATTTTTAGCCTATAACAATGTTAATCAATATAACAATGTTAATCAATTGATACAAGAACGCAAACGGTTAGAACGGTGTAAAAGCAATAAAGTTGTATAGTATCATCTGATAATTAAGATTTTACATAGAACAGGGTTCCCATGGTCCTTAAAAACTGCTTAACTTTTATTTTGGAAAATAAGGGCCCTTAAAAGTACTTAATTTTGGTACAAGGTTTTTAAAAGTGCTTAATTTTTCAGCATAGTTGATAAGAAATTTTTCACTTCAATGTTTTAAAACGAAACGCCGTTCTTTTATTACCTAGTTCGTTCAGTATAGTTTCATTTGTTTTTCTGTTAAGAATTTTATTCCAAGATTCCAAGCACTGTAATCACTATTCATTAACTTCACTTCAGCACTGCATAACAATACATGTATGTATAGCTACTATAAGAAAAGTGCTAAAAAAGGTTGTTAATTAAACATGGTCTTCAGATGTAGTGGTTATTATTTATTCTTCTAAATTTAGAAAAATTGTCATTAAGTTAAAAACTATTCTAAACTTTAAAAAAAAAAAGGAAAAAACAAGCGAATTCGGACCTAGTTCAGATAATAAGGGTTCGGATAATCGGCACTCTACTGCATTAAGTTAAGCCCAATGAAAAAAAAAGTACCCTTTTAACTTAAACAATTTGTCAACCGAATTTTTTTTCTTTGGCGTAACTGAATATTTACCAAGATTGGCCCACAACTGAATATGTGATGCATGTCTTGTAGCAAATTATAAAAACTTGTAATAATTTTTTCAATATTTTTCCCAAATTTCTTTATTTACTCTTTTTTTTTAATATATTAAAAGAAATTGCAAATTTTAATTTCTGCACCTAGTTTTACAATTCATTTTGAATGAAATGATTAAAAAGGGAATACAGATAAGTTTCATAGATGTTGTTAATCCTTCACAATCTGAAATTTTTTTAAAAAAACTCAACCCAGGTTTGCAAAAATTGTCTGGGCCTACTTTAGCAAGCCCTGGTAAGTAATACAATTTTATCAGTACTTTCATTATATTAAAATTATTTTTTATTTTTTTATTTATTAATTTTTTTAAGAAAGTTAAATAATTTGCACTGTCACTGATGATATATATTTATTCGATGATAATAAGCAATTATACTATTTTTAAAGTCCTTAATTTTTCAAAAAACGTCCTTAATTTTTTTAAAAAAAAGTCCTTGAAAGTGCTTAATTTTTGCTTTGTTAAAAGAGTGGGAATCCTGTAGAATCTTATTGTGCGTTTAATAATTTTGCCAGGGACTGTATATTAGCTATTAAGAAATTCCTGTGGTTCTGTTAAATAAATGTTCATTTTATTTATTTAGATCAAAGACACTGAGGAAAAATTGAAATTTTTTAATAATTTATCTTCTTCACTGGATTCTTTTCCGCAAGATATATGCCTGTATAAAGTATTACCTGAACTTGTTAATGCCTTTGAATTTGGAAATGCTGGTTCTTCTGTTTTAACCCCCATGTTTAAGGTATTTGTTAATCGTATTTGTTTTGTGTTTGTTAGATTTTTTTCTATTTTGTTTTAATGGTTGCTGTGCTTAAATATTTCAGTTAGGAAAGCTATTGCCCGAGGATGAGTACCAGAAAAAAATTGTACCATGTATTGTAAAAATGTTTTCGTCTAAGGATAGAGCAACAAGGGCTAAACTTTTACAGCAGGTAAGCAAGCTGACTTTGTTTAAAGAAATGTGTTTTAAAATAAAATTTATTTGATAAGATGGAAACAGATCAGGGAAAATTCTAAGAATTTTACCACTCTGTAAATGTCAGGGAGTTTTAATAAAATGCTCTAAAAATCAGGGATAATGAATTAATTTGAGTTTCAGATACCTAAAAAGCCACAATTTTTCCCCAAAAAATATTTGGTCTTATATTTTTTTTAAGAAAGAATTTTTTTTTTCAAATCTAATAAGTATAAATGTTTTGTTACATATTTTATGTATAGACACATAGCTAGGATTCACAGCAGGGGCAGTTGGAGACAAACCCAGTTTTTGCACCCCCTTGCAATATGTCATTAAGGGGCTTTTCAGACCACTTTGAAATTATTATTTAAAATTTGAAACCCACTGCACTTGGCATTAGTTTGTTAAATTTTTTATTAAATAAGAGTTTTTCAATTAAAAATTATTTTTTGAAAATTAATCTAACTTGATATTAATAATTAAAAAAAACGACATATAAAGCAAATTACAGTAATAACAGTTCAACTTATTAGTAAATCGGATAAAATTTCAAAATAATTACGAGTCCCATAATTAGCGATTGAAAAAAGAAAAACAGTTTAGTTATTTTTTCATGAATTCAGTGCACCCAAGGGCAAATGTCCTTTATTGCCCTCTGCTAACAATGCTACTGTTTGTGTATATAAATGAGGCATAACTGATTAATTAACTGAACAATTAATAATAAGGTTTATGCAGCCAGTTACAGAAATCAGGAAAACTAACTAAAATCAATCTGGAAAATCAGGAATTTTTTTCTTTTGCATTTGTGGCAATCCTAATAATGTTTGTAAATATTAATGCGATTGATTAATATTATGCAAGCTTTAAGAAAGACATAGGCAAAGTTAAATTATTAAAAAATTATTTGTTGTCATTAAGTTATAATAACTAAATTAATAAAAGCATTATTAATAAATTACTATTAGTTTCAATGCTAGTAAATTGTTAAAAGTATCAAAATTATATTTCTTATTTGAAGTTACTTTATTTTTTAACATTTTATTAAAAAAGTATGTTGTGATTTGTTCTTTAATTTTTTTAAAATTTATTCAACACTATCTTAAATTTATTGAAAAAAGTATTGCTTAATAATCTTAAAAAAGTTGTAATAATCTACGTGTGAAAGCTATATGAAAACAGCTCAATCTTTGCTCATCTGTTGCAAAACTCTATTCAATATACTGTCGTGCAATAGCAAAATTAACATAAGTGACGAAAAATTCAAAATTCAGATTTATTAATTTGTAATTATTAATTCATTTGTATTTTAATGAAGAGTAAATTGAGCATGGACAGTCTACATAATAATGAATAGAGGAAGTTTCAAAGTTTTTATCACATGTTTCAATTGTACAATGTTTTAACCATTTGCTATACAGCAAACATATAAGCGATTTCCAAGTTTTTCCCAAATGTCTATGCTCATAATATCTAGTGAATGTTTATGCAACTACCACTACATAAGTTGTGATAAGCAAAACTTTGAACTTACTATGTATTAACGGAACTACTTACTCTTTGAACTTTCTTTCTTTGTTACTTCTCTATGTAGACTTTCTATCCAATTCATATTAAAACTTGATATATTATCACAAAGGATATAAAAAGGATATTATTATATCATAATTATGTTTCCTTAGATTATTATAATAACAAAATTAATCGCTGTTTTCTTATTATAGGTTGAACAGTTTATCGATCACATTCAGCCTTCTGTAATTAATAATCAAATATTTCCAAACATTGCCCAGGGTTTCTTAGATACCAACCCAACTATAAGAGATCAAACAATAAAGGTATTTGTTATTATTTTGTTGGTATAAATTATTAATGCATGAAATTTTGTCTTACTCATTGTAACTTTAATTGAGATATATTGTTATTTAGTATAAAATTGATCTGTGGCTTTTAAATTATTTTTTGACTTTTAAAATATCTAAATGAGTGTAAAGATTTGATAATCAAAAAAATTATTCCCTATAGATATTAGGGTGAGTTGGTTCGAATAGTAAGAAATTAATTCTTAAAATAATTTTGATTTAGATAAATTCAAAAGTTTTTTTCTCAATGACTTTGCGTCAATGAATTTTAAAAAATCAATTTATTTATTAAACTATTTACAATTTCATAAATAATTGTTCAGCCGTGTATTAATTTTATGTATTTTATTTTGGTTATAAATATATATGCATTTTAAAAATCTTGGTGAAATATACAGATTTAGTATATTCAATAGCTTGAAAAAAAATTGTTTGTGGACCATTTAATGCATTTACGTTGTTAACTTTTTTAAAAAAATTCTCTGCCACATCTTTGTCTTTGTGAAATTATAAAGGTTATTATAGTCACCAACTAATAAGAGTTGAGATATAAGACTTTGATTTAGTTGGAGAAATAAACTTTACATTTTTATAATAAAATACTCATTTTTGATTATTTGTAAGATTTTAGCAAAACACCTCAATTTTGAATAGTTAATAGTCTGGATAGTAATTATTTTAAATCAGAGCTTTCAGACTAATTTAATATGAGGTCAAAATGATCTATTTTCTACAAAATTTTAATAAAAATGCTTGTAAAGACTAATAATTTAGGCATTTTTGTTGTTCCTATTTTCCCATGAAAAATTTAAGATTTTTCACACTCGTAAAATTCCTGGCCGTTTAGCTATAATTTCTTTCTTTAATTTTTTTAAAACATAAGTTAGTATATAAATTTAATTATTATATAAATTAGTATATAAATTTAAGAAACTTAATTACAAATTTAAATTAAATATTGCTATAAAGGGTTTTGAACAAGCTGATACTAGTTGTGTTTTTAATGCAACAGTAGTGTACGAAATTTATTTATATTGAGCAAAAATTTCTTTATTCTAACAAAAATTAGCATATAAATTTAAAAAACTCTATTACAAATTTAAATCAAATGTTGCTAGAAAGGAATATGAACAAACTGATACGGGTTGTGTTTTTAATGCAACAGTAGTGTAAGAAATTTCTTTATATTGATCTTAAACTTTTATGAGTTGTTCAGTGCTTCTGTAATAAAATTATAGTGAGAACTCAATTGTTAAAACATTTTGTCCTCAACAAAGTAATTATTAAATTAAGCATAGTATATTTTATTATTCTTTTGCATTAAGTTTTCCTTTATTATACTTAAGCACAGCAAAATAACAAGTTTTTTAGTTTTACACCTTTTAAAAATAATCTGATATTTTATAGACTTTTCCAGAAAATATCCTGATTTTCATTGAAAGATGTTTCTTAGATTATTTCTTTGTCCCACAATGAAGCCGGTATTAATTTTTTGTATTTCTTTTTTAAGTGCATGATGTATTTAGCCCCTAAGCTGAACTACCAGAACTTGAATGATGAGATGTTGAAACATTTTGCTCGCCTTCAAAGCAAAGATGAACAGGTGGGGCTACAAACTTTAACTGTATTGTGAGATACATTTTATACTGTGATATAATGTCAGTGATTATTGATATTTTGCAATATATATATTAATATTTTTTAAATTTAAATACAGTACACTCTCGATTATCCATGCGCGGATTATCCGTGCACATTCCGGAGTCACACAAAAAATATAAAGTGAAACATTTTCAAGATTAAAAAAATTTGATTCATGAAGTTATAACACTACAAAATTTTTGGAAGCAATATTCGTAATTGGATTGCAGTCTATGGAATATCAGCAGCATGGTCAAAGGTAAAATCGTCTACGTTATCACAATCTTGAAGAAAGATCATACCGCTTGATGAACAATCCTCTTCAGATGTTCAAGAAAAATATAACAGTATTCTCGAGCAAGCCAAAAGAAATCTAAGGTTTCGAAATTCTTGATGAAGAAAATTTAGAAGATTGGTTTCAAAGTGATGCATGTGAGCCTGGCTTCCAGTATTTGACTGATGAAGACATCGTTATGTTGTTAAATCAAATAGTGATGATAGTANATAGGCATTTCTCTCCATTGCATTCAAATTACTATTAGTAGCCGGTGTTACGGGGGTAATTTGGTGGACACTTTAGTAATTTTTTATAATTTTTGGGTTCAAATGACAACTTTGATACTAATATCAGATGTGTATCGATATATGGCGAAGACGCATTACACATTTTTTAATAAGGAAAATTCCTAGTTTGATGTTATGCTGCAAATGTCAGTAATTTTTATATTTATTGTACTGATATTGAATAAAAGGAGTTTTCGGATTATCCGTGTTTTTCGATTGTCCGTGCGACCTGTCCCGGTGATTAATCCAGATAATCGGAAGTGCTCTGTAATTTATTTTTGCATTGCTTCAAATTTTCTTAACCTGAATGAAATTTAATATCATAGTAATATCATATTCATCATTGTTATCAAAAGCACTTGCCCTATTATGTTTCTTGATTTTCTAACATAGAATATTGCCTTCAATTTAAAATAATCTTATTGCTATGTTTAGAAAATATGAATATTTCGCTATAGATTCATATATTGTCCTGCCCTATTGAATAACCTATGTAACTCTATTTTATTAAAATATTTAACCTGATATTCAACTTGAAATGTCGTGTTTGATAGTAACAGCACATATGAAGTCAATACTATAGGATTTGAAAGAAATTATTCATGATTTGTATAGTCTGATGATAAAAAGCTAAAATATGGGAAACAATTGATTTAATTTACAACTCTCCTTTTGTTACAAAGCTTTGATTATATTTATTTTGTGATTTAGGGCGGAATTAGAACAAATACAACTGTTTGCCTTGGAAAAATTGCCTCTTATCTTCATCCACAAGTGAGTAAAGAAAAAATATTATTTTTAGAAAAATTAAAATACTCTATTTCAAAATTTTTTGAAGTTCAAGTTTCATATCTTCTGTTATTAAACTTTCACTGTATTACAATATATTTTATTCTATAATTTTGCATCACTTTTAGAAATTACTTTGCATTTAAATAAAAACAGAATGCAGCACATGTAATCAATATTATTGATATTAATTTCGTCAGCCGACCAGCCTGTGTAGGAGGCAGGGAACTGTTTATGTCTCTTATGTTTTATTAATCAGCAATTGCACTGTCAGTGCATGAATGCAAAGCATTTAAATTTGACATTTTAACATTTAAAATTCTTTGAACCAGACAGTTTCAGTTATTCCATTTGAAAAATCTTCAAGCTGAAACCTAACCTACGAATAAAATTAGTTCTACATTCCCCCCTTCAAATTCATAGATTTCGATGCAAAAAACAAACAAACTATTTCTCGTTACTATTTTATAATTTCTTAACATATTTCAAAGCGACAATTTGTCATCCATGTGTATCATTTTAGCGACATTCGTGGAACATTTGACGACAATTATAACAATGTCGCCATACTGTCGTGAGTCCTACTTATATTAAAGGTTAGGAGTTAAGAGCAAAAAAAAATAAAAATCATTTAGTTATATTTTAAACTATAATCAATATAACATCCTGTATCTCTTGCTGCTAAAATTTTTCTGAAAGTTAAATATCATTCCCGTGCATGTTATGCTATGTCACATTATGCCTCATCCTCAATGTGATTAATATTAAGTGTGCATATTAAATTTATATTATCATAAAGTTAATTCTTTAATGTAAGCATTCTATATAACCTAAATATAATTCTAGATATTCTGTAGTATTTTATGTGTTTCTTTTTTAAGTATATTTTTAGTTTAAAAAAAATGATTTATTTCAATTCCTACTATTAGTTCATACTCTCCCCATATNATCCACTCAAGTTCAAATACATTTTAGACTTTATTCAATTCCTACTATTAGTTCACACTCTCCCTATATCTTGTTCAAATTTTCAATCGTTAATAAAATACTTTTTATTCATCCACTCTAGTTCAAATACATTTTTTTAATTTTTCTTTTAGTGTATGACATTTGATGTTTCTACTTTTTCAAATATTATAATTCATTAATTAGATTCAATTAATTAGTTTTATATGGGGGGAAAATTTCTCTTATATAAGATATTTAGCAGAATATAAATTTAGGAATAAATAAAATAACTAAAATAAATATCTTGTTTGTTGTACTAAGTAGGAATTGACTTTAATTTTTATTTTATTTTTATATTACTTGTTAGTTATGTACTTTTGACAAAAATCTGCATTATTTTCTTTAAGTTTATATTGTTCCATAATACATTAAGCATTAATGTGATTAATATAAAAAAGCATTCTATGCAGCCTAGATGAAATGTAATTTAAAATCTTTAGCAAATGGTAATGGTATTTTGAAGCAAAAATGTGATCTATTATTTACATGTTTTAAACTAAAATCTGCGCAATGAACTTTATAATTTACATTGTTGCATAATACCATATTACGTGTCAATGCGATTAATATAAAGCTTGCTTATTGTCATAAAGTGTAAGTTTGTTTCAAGTATGCTATAATAATTTTACAGACAAGAAAGAAAGTTTTGATTGCCGCTTTTTTGCGAGCTTTAAGAGATCCGTTTCCACCCGCAAGAACAGCAGCTATTCTGGCTTTATCTGCTACTGAGCATTATTACAGTATTAATGATTGTGCTACCAAAGTTTTACCTGCTCTCTGTCATTTCACTGTTGATCCAGAAAAGGATATAAGGGACCAAGTAAGTAGGAAAAATGTTTGTTTTGGTTTCTAAAACTGAATCTAAAACTGAAATTCACTTAACTTTACAGTTATCATAAATTATTACATAAGTTTTACAACAGGGTTTAGTGATTGTACTTAACACTTAAGAAAAACTTATCTAGTGTTTTAAACTTCAGGCTTAGGAAACTGAAAAAAAGAAATAATTTAATTTAGGCATTTTTTTCGATACTTAGAGCAGCAGTTTCCAAAAAATTTAGGTTTCCAAGTTAGTTCCTTGAAATATAATTTTTTTTTTAAATAAGTCACCACAATTGAAACACCTAATAGGTTTGTATCCAACCTATAATTGATTAGGATATTAAATATTTATGTTGTTTTTAAGAAATTATTTGAGTAAAATTCCTATAAAAAATAGCAAATTTTAAAAAATATAATTTTTTTTCTCCAATAACAACATATTGTATAAGTTACTAAATGGGTATTGATTTACAAATGTTTGCATTAGTATTTCTCATTGAACTTTAAAATTTTAATAAAATAGCCAAATTCTAGATTAAAGAATTATTTTTCTCCGATAACCATTTTCACAGTTCATAATAGTTTTTTTTTTCTTTAGAAATCATAACTCATTTTTATTTTATTCAATTTGATTAATGCATACACCAAAAGTTACTGGACTGAAAGTCACTGCATACTTGTGAATTCAAATGCTTAACATGAAATCTAATTTTAAATCTCTTATTCATGAAACAATTAAAAATTTTATTCATCATATTAAATATTTCTAAATTATTTTGTGTTTTTTTTTGTTGGCATATTCTTACCTTCTAATAACTTTTTTTAAAAGTCAGAGTTCCCCCTTAAAAAGTTTGATCATTTAGGTTTCTGTAGCTGAAAAAATTTGGGAACTGCCAACCTGGAGGATCCTGTTTTTTTATACATTATCTTAATGTTTAAATTTAAAGAGTGTATTTTTTATTTTATGAACATTTATTTTAGAAAAATCATCGTTCCATAATTTTAGAACTAAATTTCGAACCATAAGCATTAGATTTCAAATATATTAATTATAGGTTTTTTTTCTTTGAAATCAAAAGCTAATAATAAAATAATTGTGCTACATTTTTAACTTTTTGAGAGAGAAAGTAAAGCCTCATATCAGGACTTTTTCATCATTGAACAGTTAGAAATTGTAGTTCATTAAATTTTTTAAAACTGTTTTTTTTTTGTCTTTTTGCGACACTTATATTTTTACGCAAGTAACCTTTGTAATATCACAATATTGTGTCACTGTTCAATATGCTATCAAACAAAACTGATATGAAATTAAATTCGTTGGTTCCATCAACAAATTTATTCTGCTAATTGGAATGTTCATCATTTAAAACCTCTGTAATTAGAATTTCAATTTATTATTTGAAACCTCTACTTGAAATCACAATTTTTGCAGTAATAACTGTTTCTAATTGTTTTCAATGAACAGTTTTAAAGTTTTTGTTTGGTGTTAAAACTTGTTACATACTTGATCAATGCTAATGTTTATGTTACCTGAGAATTTAAAAAAAGTTAAGTATTTTTAATTCTGTAAACTATTATTTGTTTCCTATTAATTTCTTATTAACAAGTAACAATTAAGATATCTTGTTTTCTTTGTTCTTATTTTTAAAAAATTGTTTTATAAATGTTTATTTTTTAGGCTTTTAAAGGAATTGGAGGTTTTCTTACTAAGCTGCAAAAAGTTTCAGATGATCCGAGTCTGATTGAGAAAATGGGTCTGTTAAGCTGTTTTTTTCCCCTTGATTTTTTTAACATATTTTTTTTTCATTACTCTTATTGCTTGCTCTGCAAGCAATATGCTACAGTGTTTAAGGAGAGTTATTATGTGTCTAAATTGATTGACTATGGGCATTTCAGTGTTTTTAAAATTATTTAAAAAAATATTTTTTTAAATGTAAAATTATTTTTAAAACATAAAATTACTTTTTGGAAAAAATATTTTAATCAAAAATATTAGTACAGTCTCTTAAGAATGCTTCTATGCGTTTCTTAATAAATTTTTTTTCCTCCGCATTTTAACCCTTTGTATCACCGCGTTACATATCTACAACATACATGAAAATTCAATCCTATAATGAGGTGGATTTACCTATAAAATCGAACTAAATTCAGGTAAAGAAAATATTGCAAACTCGGGGGAACCAAATCTTGGTGCAGCTACCAATATTATAATGCGTTTAGCAAGAATTGTTCCACTACATAATTGCAGGATATACAATTTTTTTACAACAATCCCCTTGATTGTATATTTGGCTAAGGAGGGATTGAAAAATGTGGTGTGAGACTTTGTTACCATAAAAACAACAATTTCAAAATTTTTCACATGAAGTTTTAAATATATTGGAATTTTTGTGCTATTTTTCACAATATTGGAGATGTTCAACAAATTCTTTTTATCAAAAAATTTTTAATTTTAAGGTCTTAATTTTTTAATTATTTTTTACACGCTTAATATGATGTATTCTAACATCCGCATAAATATTTCTTATATCAGAGTTGTTGAGTTACAAAGGGTTAAGATGAGATAGGGATTTTCTTTTAAGTTTAACACAATTTACATTTACACAAATTACATTTCAGTGTTTTTAAAATTAATTTAATGTTTATTAAAAAAATATTATTTAAACATAAAATTACTTTTAAAACATAAAATTACTTTTAAATCATAAAATTACTTTTTTGAAAAATATTTTTACCAAAAATATTGGTATAGCAATCATTTGCTATGAGTTTCTTAAATTTTTTATTCGCATTTTAAGATGAAATAGGGATTTTCTTTTAAGTTACATTTAAATTTACACTAATACATTTACGCAATTTACATTTACACAAATTATATTTCAGTGTTTTTAAAATTAATTTAATGCTTAATTAAAAAAATATTTTTTTAAACGTAAAAATAATTTTGAAGCATAAAATTACTTTTTGGAAAAAATATTCATACAGTAAATGTTTGCTATGAGTTTCTTAAAAAAAAATCACTTTTTTTAAAAAAAATTTTAAGATGAAATGGGGATTTTCTTTTAAATTTTATGCAATTTACATTTTTAATCTTATAAAAAAAATCAGGACTTTTTCAATTGTTCAATATTTTAGAATTTGTTTTGCAATGGTTTGAATAATATCTTATTAATCTTTATTAATGTCATTGCCTACATTTTATTTCATTCTAATTTTATCTATATGCAATTTATTTAATTTAGAGGCAGAGTTACAATCTACAACACCTGCTTCCATTGCTGCTTCATGGACTTCTTGGGCAGTTACATCTTTAACTGATAAATTTTATAAATCGAATGTAAAATCCCAGAACAATCCTTCTCCTCAAAGTGACACACCATCAGCAGAATCAGCTGGTATGAGATTTTTAATTTATATGTTTAAAAAGTTTTGAAATTGAACAAAACAAAGGCATTAAAACCGAACTTAGTAGCTTAGCGTTGCTTATTTGATCTATGATATATAAAATTATGTTTCAAGTAAAACAATTAAGTCTCTATAAGAGACTTAATTGTTTTACTTGAAGAAACAAGGTTTTTTATTGATAAAATGTACTGGAATATTATTATTTTAATTATGATTTTTTTATGTTTGTGTGCTTAAAAATTTCTGAAATTGAGTAAAACTAAGAAATGGGAGCCAAACTGTCAGCCTAATGTTACATATTTGATTATAGTTAATCATTTACATTTATTATGATATTATGAAATATAATATCAAGTATACAAATTTAATCTGTTATATAAAAAAAAAAGTAGATCTTTATTAATAAAATGTATTGGATTATTATTTTTTCTTTATTTTTGTGTTCAAAAAGTTTTAAAACTGAATTAAAAAAGGATATTAAAGCCAAACTAGTGAGCTTAGTGTTGTATATTTTATGTATAAATTGCGTAATTTAATTTCAAGTATAAGAATTAAATCTTTTACTAAAAAAAGTTTTTTATTAATAAAATAGACTAAAATATTATTATTATTATTTGGAATATGAGTTGAATTATTGAAATTTCAAATACATTACAAAATTATATATAACTATTTAGTTGAATCTGTATTTTTAAAGATTATAAAAGAGCTAAGTTAATCTTATTTCTAGATTTGCTTTTGTAAATAAATTCTAGATTCTCAGAAATAAGTTTGTTTTTATTTCTTTATGTTCAATCATAGAATAAATATTGACAATCATAGAATAAATATTCTAATGAAAAAATTATGGTTTTTCATGGTATTTTATGGTATATGGTTTATATGGTTAAAATTATAGTATAAAATAATTTATAATGACAGGTTTGTTGAAGAAATTTGGTTGAAGATGATGTTGTTGATTGACACATTTCCAATAGTCTATATTTTATTCCAGTGATACAGGACAGCAATTACACATTTAACACCATAAACTGCTTAAATGAAAAATCAAATATGAATTGTAAAAATATTTTATTTTTGAAACATATGGAGCTCTACAATGAATATTAGTATTAATTTTTAATATTAATCTTTACTTTACACTTTATTATATTTCTTTACTTAAAATATGCATTATGAATTGATAAATTTAAAAAGTGTCCCAGAGGGATTGTAGCTGCAAGGCTGAGCCCCATAGGACACCTTGTTCCACTAAGAAATCAAATATTTATAGCAAGTGTCATGTATATGTTAATATAATTTTCGCCAAGGCTCTTTTTTTTTTTTTTTTTTGGCCTTATGCATTTAAATGTGTTGGTGGAAAATAATAATGAATTTGTGAGAAATAATAATGAATTTTAATGAATTCAAGACATTAGCAACCATATAACAGTTTTCAAATTCTATGCTTATGTGTTAGGCAGATGTAGAGGGAATCTCAAAAAATAGATTTTATTCTGTACTCATATCAAGATTGTGGATTAGATTACAAATTATATTAATGATTTTTATTTACTGAGAAAAGGATTAAATAGGATAATAATACTGTTTTTAAATGTTGGGAAATATAGTATGCATATTTCAGCATGACAAATAAATATATATACATATATAATATAATTACACCTTAACTTATAGATTACAATTATATTACTTTTAAAATACAATGATTATTGTATTTTAAATGTAATGATTAAAAAAGTTCAAATTAGGACCATTTCTTTTAACAGAAAACTTGCTATAACTGCACTGCAATTGTTTCCCCCCTTTTTTTCTTAAGTACACCAATTTATACGACATTGTATAAATTTTTGATCTTCACTCAAACTTTGCTGACCCATTTTGCAAAAAATAGTAACTAAGTAATATTTAATGGAAGTTAACTTACTTTATACTATTTTTCAATTTTTGAGTAAATAATTTTTCTTCTTCTTTGGTCTGTTTTTGTTTTGAGATGCCATGTTAACTTAAATTAGATTAACGCTGATTCTTTGTTTTAATTTTTAACAATTTATTTGTTTCCTTTTTAGCTGAAAAATTAGAAGAACTATCAGTTAAGTCTGAAAAGACTACAAAAGATGATAATTCATGGAATGATAATTGGGGAGATGAAGTAAGTAATATCTGTTTTTATTCCTAATTCTTTTTTGATTTTGATATTTATATCAAATAAGGTTCCTCGTGATGTGTAACAATCTAGTTTAATCCACACTTTAAAGAACAAAATGAATATATATATATATATACATGCAGAAGTAAATAAAAAAATACACTGTTAACTACATATTTCTTTAAATATTAAGCATTTGTTTCATTCATAATTCACAACAAATTGCATATGAATAGTTAAAAAATATCTTTTAGCTTTTTCTATTTACATTCACTTTATGTCAGTTGTAAGCAAGAAACATAGAGATACTTGTCCTCTTATAAAAAATATTAAATTTATAAATGAATAAA